AACACTTGAGATGATCTCACCACACTTGAAAGGTCCTAAGCTCTTAACTTCCAGTAAGACCTTAAAATCTGATTGGTTGAACAAATATGATGATCCACTATTACTAACACGTCCTACTTGGTAAAAATCCAGGCTGATTTTGGCTTATGAGAAGATAACATTACTGTTAATGTAGTAATTAATTTAGGTGGTAAAATAGTTTTTACATATGCTTTTGACATGATGTTTTTGTAACCTGTGCTTTTGGCACAGTCAGGAGCCAATGATCTACAGACTCTGGCTGACAGGCTTGTTCAGAAGAGTATATGTGCATCCCTATCGAAAAGCTTCCCTAAAGTCACTATCATCGGGGAGGAGGTACATACGTCTCCTAATATGAAGATGCTCAGTCTGTTTTGGCTCCAACCAGTGGAACATTATATTTTAATTGAGAATTGTAATTTATTTGTGCAGGAATTACCAGCTGAGGCTGTTGAAGAGGACCTGATAGAGAACGGACAAAGCAGCCTAATTCTACAAAAATCTTGTCCGGATGAGTATGCCAGCCTGAAGGAGGAAGAGGTAAAGAGGAATAGGAAACAGAATATGGGCATAATGCTTACAACTGTGCTATAAATGTAGAATATACTATTTCTGAAATAAAAAGTAATATTTCATCTTTCTCAGCTGGTTGTGTGGGTGGACCCTCTTGATGGCACTAAAGAATATACAGAAGGTGAGCCGATAAACAGCTTTTAACATTTTATGTCACATGATAAAATGTCAGACAATAAATTACATCTCTTCCACTTCTATTCTTTGAGTTATGGTCTTGTTCAGCTGAGACTGTAAACATAATTGTGCAATAAAGCACCTAGTATTAATATCTGTTTGGGGTGATGTGATCACAAGTGGTCAGCATTACATATAGGTGTAAACGAGTTCTACATTATGTCATCTGATTACACAAACCACATTTATAATCCACATTTTATTTATATCCACCCATGTTCCACTCTGTCTAGTAGTGTTGTCACGGTACCAACATTTCAATAGTCAGTACCAGTACCAGTAACATTTCCAAGATTGTTGGTACCAATTTCTGTTCCATAGCAAAAACTATTGTAACTATTTTATTCTAATATGTTTTATTTATTTCACTATTTGAAAATAAACACAAAATTCTGTCATGAAACTCTAGATGGCGCAGTCCAATATAGGTTCTAACTCAATCTGACATAATGATATCACATATTCACATGGCGCAGCTGATTGGTTTCTTTTTTTGCATTAGCAGCCAATGAGCTGCGCAACATTCAGATACTTGGCTAGTTCTTACTGTAGCAGTTACAGCGCGCTTCAGACACCCTCCACTTTCCCCAGCTCCACCTGTATAGATCTGCTATGGGGTAATGTCATGTATGTTTTACATGGGGATTATTTCATATTAGTGGTGGCAAGATGAAGCTTTGAAGCTTCCAGCCAGATGTGTTGAAAAGTGGTTCATTTCTCAAGGCTTTGAATGCAAGCTAGGGACACCTGCTGGTCAGGAGTGTGACAGCGCCAAAATGTCTGCTACATGGTTAAAAAGGGCTTGATACATTAGCATATACAGCCATATAGTAAACACACGATAGATAGATAGATAGATAGTCAGACAGATACAGTAGATAGATAGATCTGCACTCAAACGAGGCTTCGAACTTCACCAGTGACGTCACTTCAGTAAAACGATATAAGCCTCGATACAGAGCACTGTCTGGAAGTACTTGACATTCTCGACACAAGCTTCAAAGCCTCAGTATCAGGCGTAACATCACTATTTCATATATGTTATATGTGCAGCAGCAGTATTTCTTACATGCTCACAGCAGCATGTCTGTGGATGTATTGGCAGCAGCAAGTCTCGGTACTTGCTCTGCCGCCGCAGCAGCAGCATAGCAGATCTATTTCACCAAGACTAAACATATTAACATTGCCATGTATACTACCATGCTAAACTCTCAGAGAGTTGTCATAACAGAAATATATTAAATGAATAAAATTAGTTAATTATTAATGTTGTTAATAACTATAAGTAATAAAAATAAGTGGCAAAAATAAATGGATTATATACAGTAAGCATGCAAAGAGTGGTCACTTTATAATCAATTAAGCTGAAAGCTGTCAGCTATCAGCATGCACTGAATTGACTTGGTACTCAGTACTACTGTACTGCGGAAAGGCTGGTATCCTTACGTTTTTAAAATTTTAAGTATCGACTTAGTACCGAACTACCTGTACTTTTGACACTACTGTCAAGCACACAGATAAGGCTTTTAAAATAATCGTTGATGTGAGACAGATGGACTCAGTTGGCACATGCGTGAAACATGGTGGAGCTGTCTTTTTGAGCGCTCAATTACACACAAGTCTGCACGGACAGAAAAATCGAGCTGCACATAAGACAGTGTGCGTGGACATCAGCAGACTGTGCTTATGTTAAAAATTGCGCACTGTCGGCGAAGCAGAGCAAAATGCGGACAAAAAAAGTGCACTTCAAATGCATTTGGATGTTTCTCAGACAGTGAAGGATAGCCTGTTCACTCACCTCTGAGCAACAGTCCAACTACAAGTGGTTAATTGTGGAGATTGAGGTTAATATTGGGTGTAAATGGCCTTGGCTGATCGAGTTGCTTGAGGCAGATGTTGATACCAGGTGTAAATGGGGCTTAAAGGTTTGGTCACATTTAATGTTGCTTGGCAAAATTTTGCAGGCCAAATCAATCATTTAAATAGGAATCCACGTGGCGTTATGTGTGAGAGTGAAAACTGGTCATGTGAATTTACTGCATTGACCAACAGAAAGCTGCTCGATTTGAAAGTGACTTCTGTGTAAGCTGTGCTTCATATTGTACATCACTACACTATTGAAAATTGACCTTTTTGCCTGTGAAATTTGGCTGAAATATTGTTAATATGACCACACCTTAAGACTTTTTTTTTTCTTTTCACACTAGTTAGTCCCACCCACAACATAATCTTTTTTTTCTTCTTCTCAAAATCCAGATCAGATAGCAGTATGGCTTTTACTTTTGTTCCTGAACATTTCACTTTCAGTGAGGACACAATAATAGTTATTAATTACTAAAAATACACTTGCGTTGTGCCTAATTAGGCTGCAAGCATGTCCAATTCAGTTGAACATTGATGCATTTTTTTATCATTTGCATCTATCCCGCATTCCTATCTCTCTCTTAATTTTTTTGTCTAACTCTACCTCCACTTGACCTCCATTTGTCCAACACGTCTGGTGCTGTCACATGGTGATCTGCTGTTTCCCCTATTTCTTTCTTTGTCTTTTCTCCCCTGTCTCTGTTGTAGCTGCAAGGGTTTTGTACAGCCCAGTTTACATACAGAAGCCAGAGCAGCCCTACAGAGCCACTAACCGTACGGTGATTTAATTGTTTTCCCTTTTTGGGGCATGAGATGTCACTTTGAAATTAGACAAGTAGAAGGTTGATGTTAATCAGAAACAGCTGTTAAGTTGGGCATTTGCCATTTCTAATAGTTGACGAGCAATCATTGCATTGCATTTGTGCTCTTTGTTGCTTTTATCCAATGTACCTGTTAAAAAAATCTATTTTCCTTCCATTGTTAGTTGCACTGTAAACCCTAACTAGTTCAGTTTACTTAAAAAAAAGTTTGGAAACCGATTGCCTTATTTTGGCAAAGTAAATTTAAAGGTAAAACTAAAGTTAATTTAATAATTAGTTTAAAGTAAAGAAAGCAAACTCCTCCTGAGTAAATTAAGTAATAAATATCAAGTTAGTTTAATGTCGTTTCTAGTTCACATACTCCAGGATATTTACTAATCTTACTTAATATGTAATAGTAAGATTACTTTTTTAATTCCATTTAACTAACAGTGTTATTTTGTGTTCTGCAAACATCTTAAATGCTGTTATTCTCAACGTGGATTTAATCTGCCATTTTAAGCAATGGGGACTTAAAACATTACGTGCTATCGGTTTCCACATTTTCTTCAAGTAAAGTGAACATATTTTTAGTAGTTCAACCAGTTCAAAAACTAATTTTTGGGTGAACTAGACTAACCCTTTAATTCAAAGTGTGTAAAGTGTGTAATGCTGACAAGTTTGTTTGTGATCAGTCAACACAAATTCATCAATTGAAGGCATTTACATCACCAATTTCAGTAATCAATTGTTTCACAAAAGACAAATATAGCATCAACTGCAAAATTACTGAAAGTATACCCAGAACCTTTTGTCATTTTTCTTAACCTGACCTATATTCTCATTGAATAAAACAAAATGATGAGTGCAGAAAATGCAATAATACTTACGATGCACATCCTGTAAAATTCCTCTGGGTCTTCCTCCAGGATGATAAGGTATTCCTCCTATTGATAAAGGAATACCTTTTAATCAACTTGAAACTTTCAGAAACTTTCAGAAGTGCAGAGTCCGTGTCCAATGCTGCGCAGAACTCCGATCCGAGATATGCGACTGAATTCTGCAAAGATCTAAGAACAAACATGGAGTGGCTATTAATATTCGAAGACCATCCATAAAACACTCTGGGTATTGAAAAGGGAAAAAAAAACTGGTTTTGAAGAGGGAAATTACTTTTTTTTTTCACCGAAAAGTCATCAAGGGCATTAAATTAAAAAACACATTTGTATTAAATTAAAAGTCTTTGAAAGGACACTGAACTTTCTTGTTACTCCTCAAATGAGTATGCAAATGGGAAAAAAAATCTGACTCATCATATGGCTTAGTTAAAGGAATGGTTCACCCAAAAATAAAAATAAATTGCTGTAAATGTACTCACCCTCAGGCCATCCAAGAAGTTGGTGACTATGTTTCTTCAGCAGAACAGCAAAGAAGAGTTTTAGCAATGAAAAAAAAACATATCAAGGAACCCAAAACTAATACCTGTTGCTCCTGACGATATATTGAGGTCTTATCAAGCAAAATGATCGGTCTGTGGAAGAAAATGAAATAAATGCTTTTAAGTCTAATTTTCTACATTCATCTTGAATTTATCTAAGTAGATCCTCTCTGCAATGTAAAAACAAATGTAAGTAATGGCAGTTTTGTCACAAACATGGCACTTGAAACAAACACAATCTAAAGCATGCTCTTAACTTACATTTCCACTGCACAGCAGTCATCAACTGGTATTCTAAAATAATAATAAAAAAAGTGATATTCCATCAATCAAAAATCAGTGAACACTGAACAAACAAAACCAAATGCATAGAACAGTTTTTTTTGTCTTATGTAATGTAAATGCAAACATCTGGTATTTTAAAACTGAGACTGTTAACTTATATTTAAATAAGTTTTAATGTTGTATATGCTCTGCTTGAGGAGGTGGGGTGATGGGGTCTCCTAAAACTTGCTGACAATCTCAGATGCCTTGTTCAATGCCTTGTCCAAATACCCACTTGTGGTCTTTGCACTTGACCACTAGACTAATTATATGACGTATTTCCTATATTTGGCCCAAGTGTTCAAGTTAGGATGAAGACCACATGTGTGTGTTGAACTTTTCATTACTTGATAGGACACACTTATAGTGTTGTAAAAATGCAAGTGTTTACATAGCGTTATTTTAATTTAAATTTTAAATACTTTGCATTTTAAAATCAACTTCTAAATGTCTGTTCAGTCAGTAGTCCCTATAACATGACAGAATTAAATTTGTGGTGCTTCTAATTAAGTGATACAAAGTTGCAAATGTTTACAAAATAAATACCACTACTCATCTTTACACCAATAAAATGTGCAACACTTTGTTTTTCTACCAAATTATATGTAATATCTATTTATTGTATTAATATCTAACTTACACTGGAAATGTTTCCGTTACCTCTCGCGCGATATCGGCAAAAAGTCTCACGATTTATTTCCAGAACATGATGCATGATGGGATACACTTAAGCCTCGAATAGCGCTCCGGAGCGGTATTCGAGATAGTTGTGGATTTAGTGTGCGTTAAGGGCACTGCGCTTTGGCATTTTTAAAACCTGGGACAGTCTTGCGCACTTACTTACAGTTGCGCGCACGCGCTCTCAAGTGGCCAAGACCGCAAGTGCGGGTATTTGGACAAGGCAAGAATGCCTGTTGTTTCGTACTGCCTGCAGATTACCGTAATTATCCTAATAAGCACACATACTATTTTCTTCGCAACCGGCTTGACTCTAGTTTAGCACTCATAGTTGCGTTCAAATAGGCCATGTCAAGTTAAAAGGAGTTATTTTATTATTTTAAAAGAACCGGTCTGAAGATGTAGCGGTCTTTTCCATCCGTTTGTCCTTTGACTGGATTGCGCGCTCTCTAGCGTGAATACGGCCGTGTCTCTGAGCTCCTGATTCAAAAGTGTCACGTCCAGAATCAGATATCTTACAGCAGGGATCCTCAAATCTGGCCCACGAGATCCACTTTCCTGCAGAGTTTAGCTCTAACCCTAACCAAACACACCTGAGCATGCTAATCAATGTCTTCAGGATCACTAGAAAATCACAGGTAGGTGAGTTTGATCAGGGTTGGAGCTAAACTCTGCAGCGCATTGGCCCTCCAGGGCAAGATTTGAGGAACCCTGTCCTACAGTATATGCCAAGTGCTTACGAAAACTATTCCGTAACAATCACAGCATTAAAAACGAGCTCCCCATTTGACGTGTTTTGTTGACTTCTCATTGAATTTTGAATTCTGCAAAACGTCACGTGACGCATAAGCGTCGATTCAAATTACTTCTATTCTCGTGACTATGACTAGCAAACAATGGATAACATAGTAATTAATAGACAAGCAGGCAGCTAATTTTACAGATATGAAGCAGACATTAACTAGTTTGAACAGAAATCGCTTCAAATAATGCGCAGGGGTCAAAACGTGTTTGAGTACTTCACATGGGCTAAGAAGTTCCACAAAACAGCAAGCAACAAATTGCACAAAACCTAGCAAGGACTAGCAAGCAAAAAAATCAGAAAACGAGACTTAAAAGCTTTTACCTTGATTTTACCGAAGCAGATCCTCTGCACGTTGAATCCTCAGTCGGTGTGCTTCTGCACCGTGTGTGTGGGGGAGGGGCAATTGCCGCTCAGTGCGCATGCGTAACAGCATGTCTTGAACATTTTGAGTAACTTTACTTAAATTGCGTTAGTTATGGGAACTATCTGTTCTAATATTTCAGCAACAATTTAAAATTTGTAGTAAACTCAACATTTTGGTTAAAATCAAGTAAGCATACTAGTATTTCTATATTTCTATTCTATAGAATACTATTTGGTTTTACAGTGTGGTATTTGGTTATTCAACTTTATAAATTACCACCACTTTATTGGACAAATGCATTATCAGGGATGCAAAGAATTATGAGAGAATGAAAGGTGGAATGGGTAGGGACATGTTGCAGACCTGGCTTGAACCTGCATTACCAGCATGCGTGTGTTCACACTTGTGTTCTGTTCTCTTGGTTCTTTTTATCCGGACCACAAAAGCACAATACTTTATTCCTGGTTTGCTTAGGGGTCACACTGTCATTTTTTTACACCAAGCCTAAAGATACAAACTAAAGGCATAAAGATATGGTCACAACCTGATTGAACAACTGTTTTGACATATATTTTGCAACGGAACTTATAATTGTGTAAAGGAGTTAAAACAGGAATTTCTCCACTGCACAAATGTAGATCTTCTGCAAGATGCCAGTTCCAGTGCCTGTACCGAATTCTAATGGGTTTTGGTTCATTTAGATGTCTCAAGTCTGTGTTGTGTTCATATTTCTAGTAAACTGCACTAGAGTTCATTTGGAAGTGTACCAAGACCCCCTGAAAAGATGGGTCTTTGGTCCGCTTGTTTGGTGTGCACCAAGGTTTGGAGAGCAGCATACACAGTTGTTGAATTGCACCAGAGTTTGTTTAATCGAATCAAGCCTGCCAAGTGTGAACACTTCTAAAGGCAGGGGTGTCTAGTCCTGCTCCTGGAGGGCGACTGTCCTTCAGAGTTTAGCTCCAATAAAACACACCTGAACCAGCTAATCAAGGTCTTACTAGGTATACTAGAAACTTCCAGGCAGGTGTGTTGAGGCAGTTTGGAGCTAAACTCTCCAGGACAGTGGCCCTTAAGGACTGAGTTTGGACACCCCTGTCCTAAGGTGTCGAACCTTGATGCACACAAAACAAACAGACCGAGACTCACCTTTTTAGGGGGTATCGGTCTGCTTGTTTGGTATGCACCAAAGTTCGGATGGCAGCATTCACCTTATTCAAATGAACCACATTAATGGCGTAATTGCACCTGAGTTTGTTTAATTGAACCATACTTGTCAAGTGTGAACACACCCTGAGGTCTTACCCATACAGTGCCATATACATTTACAAGAGCATAGTGGGGTTAACAATATTTTAATGTTGGAGCTGACTAATCCTTTTTTTAATGTTGTTTGTGTGCCATTTTATTGCAGGGCTCTTGGATCATGTGACCGTACTAATAGGCATTGCTTATGGAGGGACAGCCATTGCTGGAGTCATCAATCAACCCTTCTACAACTACCAGGTCCAACCAGTTGGTCACTCACACATGCTACACTATATTTGGTAGAGGCTGGGATTGGTTGACCTGTTTTTTTCTCTCTGTTCATTCAGATGGGGGCTGGTGCTTCTTTGGGCAGAACATTATGGGGAGTACTGGGTTTGGGCGCATTTGGGTTTCAACTCCAGGAAGTCCCAGATGGTAAAAGAATCATCACTACTACACGGTCCCATAGCAATAAACTTGTGATCGACGCAGTGCAAGCCATGGAGCCTCATGATGTCATCAGAGTGGGAGGGGCTGGGAATAAGGTGGGTCACAGCCTTTGATTTGACTGAGTCAGTACTGGCGTAGAAGAAAACTAATTACATCTTGATTCTGGCCCTGGTAGATCATCCAGCTGGTGGAGGGAAAGGCCTCTGCTTATGTGTTTGCCAGTCCAGGATGTAAAAAGTGGGACACATGTGCACCTGAAGCAATTCTGCACGCAGTTGGAGGTGACAGTAATTTTTTGCACATACATTCTTGACTTGATATTTAAGATAAATATATACATTTTATGTTGTTTTTCATGTACAGGCAAACTGACAGACATGCATGGTAATGCATACACATATGATGCCAATGTGAAGCACATGAACTCTGCTGGAGTGCTAGCAGCACTGAGAAATCATGAGTACTATTTAAGCAGAGTGCCACAGGCTGTCCTACAGGCTCTTCCTTCTAACTGAACCATTACAGGATATGAAGTTGTACTCTAAACCGTTGTGCCTCAAAGCTGATATGCCCTTGCCATAAAATCTTCATTCATATAAAAACAAAGATGAATTAGTACCGTTTTTATTTTAACTTTTATTATTTCTTCAATTTACTTAACTAAAATTTAAAATAGTTAATTATTTACTGAGGACATTCACAATATGTTTTGATCCATTTTCATTAGGGGACCAATTTACATGTTTCTTAATGTTTATTATAATATAGCATGCAGGTCATTTAAATCAAAATATATGATACATTTATATATAGATGTCCTATTGCATATACATGGTAATGGTCTTAACCATTAAAGTTTTTTAAATTCCATGTTTGTCCATTATTCTGGCTGTCTACACCTTTAGAGAATAGGAGAACATGAATTCTTGTCTGACAGCATTTATTATTGTCTTTACATACTATTGTCTTACAGCATTGTAGGTAAACAGAAGATGCATTGGAGTTAAACATTCAGAATAGTAACACTTAAAACCAGTGTTTCATGTTTTAATTGCTATAGCTAGGTATTACATTTAAAATGATTTCTGTTCAACTTCATTGTGTTGAACGTTGCATGAGGGAAGTCTGCACTACCCTGCTACTGTGAAATGTATTTTCCATTTAAGGGTATTTGACAGTTTTGCATCACCAACCATAACCAAAACATTACAACTGACACAACAGAAGTGCACTAATAAAATTAAATTGTTGACAACCAGGACTGATTATGCAGCTATATTTGCAATATTTAGTTTAAAGTATTCCTATATCTACTTATAAACCAGTTTGATTGAAAACAAGACCACAAGTAGGATGAGAAATAATCTTTATTTTAAATAATAGACCTCTTTATTGAAGCATCATTGTAATGAAATGTCCAAACACACTTGAAAATGTGCCATGAAAACAACAACAAAAAAGTGTTAGTAATATTTTTAGTAATGCATGGTATGAAAAAGGCTTACCTGAGGTGTAATGCTGTCCGAAGCGTCTTTCCATATTCGATAAGCAGACCCGATGGCAGCTTGCAGGCCATCTGTTCAGCAGTTCCAAGACATGGAGACTTAAAGACACAGTTCACCCGAAAAACATTCTCATCGTTCACTGACAGCTTGTGTTGTTCCAAACCTGCATGTGGAACACAGAAGGATAAAATGAACAAAAGATTAGTAAATAAATCAAAGAAAATTAGAAGCTACATAATATGACTTAGATCTACATCCCAAGTCATCTGAAGTGATACAATAGCCATATACAAAAAACATCAAAATTTAAGTCACTATCTACTTTGAATCTAAAGAGAACTGGTCACATCAAGGATGTCATATCTTAAATGTGACATATTTGAATTTGAACCGATTGTGGACAGCAGATGACTGTCAATGAATAAATTAAATATCACTGTTCAGTGAAAGTAATTAAGTGAAAGTGAAGTGTGGTGTCCCATACTCGGAATGTGTGCTCTGCATTTAACCCATCCAAGTGCACACACACAGTAGTGGACACACACCCGGAGCAGTGGGCGTGAACACACAACCGGAGCAAGCTGCAGCGCCCAGGGAACAGTTGGGGGTTTGGTGCCTTGCTCAAGGGTCTCACCTTAGTCGTGGTATTGAAGGTGGAGAGAACACTGGTTATTCACTCCCCCCACCTACAATCCCTGCCAGACCTGAGACTCGAACCCACGACTTTCGGGTTACAAGTCCGACTCTCTATCCATTAGGCCACGACTGCCCTCATATTATATGACTCCTATGTACAGCACGAGTCATTTTATGGCTAAATAATTTAAAATAACTTCTGTAACAGCCCAGATCCCCATCACTTTCATTATGTGGAAAAGAGAAGCCAGTACATTATTCCAAATTTCTCTTTTAGTGTTTCACGATAGGGATTCAGTCATTATCTCCTGGGTAATATATGTATGCATGAGGAATGAAGTGGTCCTTCAATTGGCCTTCACGCTTTATATATATATTAGACGATTAACTTGCGCAAAAGGATGTTGTGCAACATAATACAACACCAGACAGTATGTGTATGCAATACAGCCTCAGTAGGGCAAATTAAATGTAACAAATTCCCATGTGTATGTGTATGAAATGTGTCACAAGTGTGTAATAAAGAAGCTAAAATATGTTGCCAGGAATATTACCGGCGCCAAAATGTTGAAGTTGCTTATCACAAAAATACAGCTAGGAAAATATTTTGAAAATATAACGGGAGATTTTTTTTTTCTACACATTTTGGAACATTGACAGACAATAACCGTATGAACACTGCAACATATCAGTTTCAGGGTAACAATTTATCACAACATGAATAAAATAAAAATGAATAAAAACGCACCCACACATTTATTTTTAATAGGGAAAAAAGTATCCAATAGTCTTGTGGTGCTTTTTACAACAAAAGCATGAAAGGAAAAGGTTTTGGTGTAATACCTTTTTTTTTATATGCGGACTCATGTAAATTCATACCTCAACTGATACAATTTTTCCCCTCAAAGGAACAAGAAATGTTTATGAAATAAATATATGGGAAAAAAATTGCATAAAGTATTGGGGGAAACCACTATGAAATTGTTGCTTACCAAGTTTTTTTTTTTTTTTTTTTGTATCATATCATTAGACTAGGGGTGCACAATCCTGGAGATTTACCTTCTTGCAAAGTTCAGCTCAAACCCTGATCAAACACACTTGAATCAACAAACTGAGGTCTTCATAAGTACTGGATAGGGTGGATACTGAACTCTGCAGGCAGGTAGATCTCCAGGAACAGGCTTGGACACCTGAAA